TATATATGTATATATGTGTGTGTGTGTGTTTATATGTTTAAATCAAAATGTTCAGCTCCTTAAGAACATTCCAGGTATGACTCAATATTTGCCTTTTCAGCTATTTTTTTCTAAGTGAAAATGAGTAAAGTTCCATTCAACCAAATAAATGAACAAATAAATAAAAAAACCTTTAAAAGGTTTTTAAGCTTTTACTGCCTTTTTTACCTTTTGTTCTGGTTCTGCTTTTTTATGTCGTTGTGCTAATTTTAACTTTCTTCAGCTTCTTTTTTCGCTACTTTTAGCTTTTTTTCTGCTTTTTCAAGCAACTTTCTGCTCTTTTCATTTATTCTGTTGATTTAGACGTCTTTGTACCTATTTGTTTCWTTCTGCTAATTGAAGCTATTTATGCCTACGCCTATTTTCTGCAATTTAAGCTACTTGTCAGCTAATTTTAGCTTTTTTCAGCTAAGTCCACCTTTGTGGTAATTTCAGCTTCTTGTGCTCTTTCTGCTTCTTTGTGCTAGATTCAGCCCTTTCAGCTACTTTTTAGCTACTTTACCTTGACAGATTGATGACAGATGTGTGCACCAATCCTGGAAATTCTAAAAGATTAAACATTATATTAAACAGAACAAGTGAATTGGATGTTATCATGTTTTACATCACTATTAAACTGTACTGTTGGTCACACTAAGCAATATTATTGTTCCATATCTTCCCTCCTGCAGGCTGTGGAGGCCCAGTGACGGCTCCATCAGGGGAAATTCATTCTCCTTCTTATCCAAACAGCTATCCTAGTAATGTGGACTGTTCCTGGGTGATCAGTGTGGATCCCAGTCATCGTGTCCTCTTTAACTTCACTGATCTAGACATCGAGTACCATAGCACCTGTCTCTGGGATTATGTAGCTGTGAGTAAATATCAGTCAGAAATATGAATGTAAAACAAAAGCTTTAAAAATTTAACGTGATCAAAACTCTCACTCATTAACCATCGCCAGGCAAAAATAAAAGATCTATTCAAAAACTGTTTCTGTGTATCTGTAGATTCATGATGGTTCAAGTATATCGTCTCCTCTGCTCGCCCAAGTTTGTGGCACCAGTGCTCCCCTCGCCATCACCTCCACAACAAACACCATCTATGTTCGCTTCAGGTCTGATGCCAGTAARAACCACCGGGGCTTCAGTGCTCGATTTTCTGAGGGTGAGTTTTCTTCAACCTCTCTTTTGTTTAGTCTACATTGGATGGTTAGATTGATTAGCACGATCTTTGGGAGATGTCTTTTGATACACATCGCTTTCAGCAAAGAACATAAGAKAAAAGGAAGGAAAAATACTTTTAAGGAAGATTTATAAGCATGGCTGTCATCATAAAAGTCAAACTAAACAGAAAGGGTTTTGTAAATAGTTTTTTTTGTATTCTATAGCAGTGAAACAACTGTTTCAGTCAGTCAAACTTTTAACAAATTTTAACATAAAGTTTAAAGACTAGGCAAACTGCTGATTCTAAAAGGCTCTGCTAAATATCACATTAATTTATTTCTCAGTATATTTTGTTTTGTAAACCCTTTGTTTCAATCAGAACATATTCTATTTCCTTGTTTTGACCATGTGGTTTTGTCTTTGACAGCTTGTGGCACAACTATTACAACAGACGATGTTGGAGGGGCCATTGCATCTCCACGATACCCATCACCATATCCACCAAATCAGAACTGCAGTTGGATCATCAAAGCACAGGAACCATGTGAGCTTCCCCAGTCAGGACTCTCAGCCTTAATGTTTTACACATGGGCTTCCTACACACTGAGCGTTGGGTTAAACTAACCARTGATTGTGTTTTTACGGGCTAGTCAACCATGTGACCCTGTCATTCACTGATTTTGAGCTGGAGAGGATAAACGTCAACTGCTCACATGATGCTGTGGAGATCCTGGATGGAGACAACTACCAAGCACCATCAGTAGGTGGGTTAGCTTTATGTTTCATCCTATATTTATACATAACGGCTTGATTAGATCGGTCCATCATCTGTTGGGTTTTGTTGGAGACGGTCTTCTCATAAAATAAATGATTAAATTTCAGTTTTCATGAATCCAGTCATGYTAAAAGGAAAGTCCAGCCTCCTTCAGCTCTAGAGTTTTTCATATCAGGATGTTAAAAGATGATCTGATCTTTAACCTTATTTTAATCTGACCTGAAGTGAACAAAAACACACAGGTCATTATTTAATAAGCCAAATTAAAAAGTGTATTTAAAAATAAAAAATTAATTCCTAGAATTTCTATTTTTCTCATTTCCGTAGGTTTATGAGTATCACAGTTTATCATTTTAACTTAACGATTGGAATGTTATGAGTGATAATTAACTTTGGAGGTGAAATCAAGTTAGGCTGTTGTTGATCAATTTGCAATTTATTCTTATTATTTTTGTATGTGTGTGTTCTGTCAGGGCGCTACTGCGGCTATGAAATACCTCACCCAGTGACGTCTTTCAGCAACTCGTTGGTGGTCAACTTCATCTCTGACCACTCCGTCTCCGCAAAAGGCTTCAGAGCCACCTACTCAGCCTCCACTTCCAGTACAGCGGCACACATCGCTCACATTTCTAAAGACACTCTGAATAAGTCGATGGGAAAATGAAAAGGATTTGTCTGCCAAGTGTTTCCTCTTCTCGTGTCTCTGCTCAGGTTGCGGTGGAGATCTGGTGATGCAGAGCGGTGCGTTTAACAGTCCTAACTTCCCAGATGCCTACCCACCAAATATAGAATGTGTGTGGACCATTAGGAGCTCACCTGGAAATCGGCTACAGCTCTCTTTCATGTGAGTTTTATTTGAATGGACTGCTTTATCTCTTAGCTTCACAAAGAAGTATTTTGTTATTGTTTTCCACTGTTGCTTGGAAAGTATCAGTTATTTATACATGTGCACATTCTCTGTAAAGTTACACATTTCACTTCTAGCTGTTTTGTGTGTTTTTTTTTCTAGTACATTTAACCTCCAGGGAGGCTCAAACTGTCAAAATGACTACCTGGAAATCAGAGAAGGCAACTCCACCGGGGCTGTAGTTGGTCGTTTCTGTGGGAACTCGCTCCCCTCCAACTACACTTCTGTTATTGGTCACATCCTGTGGGTCAAGTTTGTCTCTGATGGATCAATTAGTGGACCAGGATTCAGAGCCACCTTCTCACACTGTAGGTGTTCTAAGATGAAAGCTCATTTCCTACATTCAAATGGTCTTTATTGAGTTTTCTTCGACATAGGTAATAAACTATTGTGGTTGTTTTGGCAGCTGTCTTCAACAGCTTGTTATTATCAATGTGTCATAAAAGTAGCAATACTGTAGCTCCACTAATAGGCTGTGTCCAAAACGGCAGGACGGGTCCTCCGAAGGTCGAATTTGTCGGCCYCARYRGTCACAGCGCCGCGACGAAGGACGTCCAAAACGGAAGACTCCTCCGATGCGTCCGA